TATGAATTTATTATAGATGATTTGTGAAAATATATTTTTATTTATTTATTTTTCTCAATTCAAATTGAATACAGATGTAATAACTTTTTATTTTAGTACGAAAAATTCTTAAGCTATCTTTTTTGAAACTTATTGAGTTTTTAATTCTATTATATAGGATTAAGGTTACAATTGCAACGAAATGTATTTACGTCTCAAGTTAATTTTTTTCGACTTATTTATAATTTTTTTTTACTCTCTTCTCTGAGTTTCGTTTAATAAAACAACTAAAGCAAATGTAAAAATGCATGCTTTATTTATTAGTGTTTAATTTAATAAAATTTTTAATTATTGTACCACATTTAGGATGCTGCATTTGACATGTAGGGAAGTGATTTCTTTGCAAACACTTGAAGAAAATCTTAGGCAAAGTTATATATATTTTTTTTTAATTTTGAATTTTTTTATAGAAGATTCCATAAATATAAATTATTTTAAATATCTATTTACATATTTATGAAAATAAAACATTAACCAACCGTAGCTGACATCCAATGTGTGTATATATATATATATATGTGTGTGTGTGTGTGTTTGAAGAATCCTACATCCCATGAAAAAACTAAGCATTTCAAGATACAGTAACAGTACTGTAAATATCAAGGAAAGTAGAGCTAGCTTGGTGTACACATCATCATCTAAAACATGTTTGTAATATATATGCGTGTTTGTATGTGTGTATATATATATATATAAGGCCATTGACAACCATATTGGCATGTGACTTCAGCTTAAGTTTTGCCTGTCGGCTGTTGAAAAATCTATAAAAAAATCCAAACTAGCAAGTAATCTTAATCTTCTCACTCTTAATTTGTTTTTCAACTTAGCATCTATACACACACACACACACACACACATATATATATATATATATAGTGTTTGAGCAGTCCCAAATCACATGATAAAAACAGTGTCACATGAGATGGGAATGGAGAAGACAGCTAGCCCATATGCAAATTTTATAAATTTATAAAACCCTAATATTCTAAAATTAAATCTTTTAACAAAACATATTATTAGTAAATCTGTAGAAAAATCCTCTAATACTAAGAAGAAAACATAAATAACAGCCTGACTGTTTGGAAATGAATTAAGTTACAAATTCTAGAATTCACCAGCTTAATTTGAAAAATACTGTAATTTTCCCCATCTAGCCAAACGTGTGTGTGTATATATATACATATAGATGTATGTATATATATATATATATATATATGTAAATGATTGATGAAATTATGGTGGATTCACACTGTGGATGAAATGATATGTTAAGAGGCTTTAAAGATTAATTGTGATATTATAAGATATGTGCAATTGGGAACTTAAAACCTATATTTATTTAACAAAAAAGGAATCCAATTATGGTAAAAAAAAAAAGGTAAAAAGGTGATTTGGGTTAAAAGAGAAGTACTTTGAAAAGTAATTACTAATGCTACCTTAAACAAGCTGGATCTTTCTTTTTTGTTTAATTTAATTTAAGCATTGACAATTATTACTTGGTAATAATTTTAGTTTGTCTTCTGTTATATGTATTTCATGGAGGCCATCATTACAAAAAAAAAAAAAGAAAAAAAAAAATGTAGTAGTAGTTGGCATTGACAATATAAATTAGCTACAATATTACATATGACAGAATATATGCTGTATAAATGAAATTTCTTTATTTAACCAACTACATACATACATACATACATATATATATATATATACATCTATATATAGTTTCACTTGCATTGTGTTTCTTCTTTGTTATTATTATATAACACATACAAACATTTTTGGGCAAGTCACCTTTTCCCTCCCTATGTACACAATTTTATATTATCCCAACTACTACAAAAACGTAATATTAAATTATTGTTGATGATTATTAAGTATTCCAATGAAATGTCAAATTTACTTCAACATATTTGTTAATGATATTTGTTGTGAATAATTTATTTAAAATATTTGTTGGTGTATTAATCGTTTTTATAGAAATTACCAAATTCATATTTATTATTGCTATTGATATTTTTATCCTCTTTAATGGATATACATACATATATATATATATATATATATTTAAAACTAAGAATAGTTGAGTTATTGTTGGGAGTTTCATTGGATACCTAAATGAGAAAATTAAAGATGATATTATATATTTAATGTAATTATAGATGACAATTTGCCTGAGTCTCTATCCCTTTATCTCTTACTACTTTAACCAAAACCCACAGAGCATTTTAACATATAATGACTTCTTCTACTTTAAGAAATTGTGATACACATGATGGTCATTAGGGTTTTAAATCTTTTCATTTAAAAAAAAAAAAAAAAAAAAAAAAAAAACTTTACTACAAAAAGAAAAGCAAACAGATTGGATAAAATGACACAGTGCATATATATCTACATATGTGATATATACACACCCATAATTCCTCCCACTTTTCACAAATAATTGAGACAGGACATGAAAGGTATAATTATTTTAAAATTAGTTCTATCTTTTTATAATTAAAGTAAATAGTAATATTTGAAATCAATTATAGTGAGGAGAGAAACAGTGCACATACTATATATGAATTTATATAGTAAAATAATTTAAATAAAATGATGGATGCTTTGCGGTCACTATACTCTAGCTTTAAAACTTAAAGCATGAATTATATATATGTATGAACCACAATATTATTAATTAGTGAAACGAGCCAAGTACCAAATTGGTTATTTTATAAGTGAGGTTGACAAATTTAATGTAACAATAAATATTGTTTTTTCTCATCTCTGCGATCAATCGGTGAGAGATTGTTCCCAAACTGCAATGATTTCTGACCTTTCTGGCATCGAATTGCTGAGATTGCAACCATAAGAATCCATGTGGATTTGAGGAATTCAATGCAAACATGGGCTGTCATATATACATATATATATAGATCATACTATACAAAAAATATTCTGCACCAATGGAGTAATAAATTTCCATGAGGGAGAGATCAATTTAAAAATGCCAATCCACAGCTGACCTGCTGAGTTTTTCTCAATAGATAAAAATAATTAAAAATTAAATTTACTAGTAAATAAAATAAAGAAATAAATGAAAGGGAAGATTAAAAAAATATATATAAATACTAAAATTGGCAATAATTTAACTTTGATTAACAACTTCATCCTTCAATCCATCACATTATTCCCGCCCCCCCCCCCCACCTTTCAAAACTAAGTAAAGACTAACAATGGGAAACCAAAGAGGAAAGATGGAAAGCAATTTTGTAAAAATAGAAAAAAAAAAAAAAAGCAGAAATCTCACAATTACAAGCAAGCTATTGAAATAAATTAAACAACATATCATCATCATCATCTTACTGTTGTCTAAAATCATGTCTGTATCTGCTCCTCCTTTCTTGGTTCTCTTGGCTAATTTCATCCGACTCTGTTCTTTTCTTTTTTTCCCTTTTTGTTGAAGGGTGAAGAAGGGACATCAAAAACTTTGTGATGAACATGTTGAATATTGAGCTATTTTTGTTGTTTTAAATGAGTTGAAAATAGTAATAGGCGCAATCAAATAATGTTGGGTGACAGAGCCCGCTTATACATACATTTTTTGGGTGTATGGACTGGTAAATTTTAATAGCTGGGGATGATTGTACCAACATATCCAAATCCTGTGATGAGGAAGGTCACGGTTTGCAGGAACAGGTATACGAAGTAGTTGTTCTTTCCATGAACGAAATCATAGCATCCACAGCAGAAGAGGAACGCTCCAAATCCCAACTCCAATGTGTTGAGTCTGTTGAAGTTAAAATGAAAAAGAAATTACAAAATTTTAAAAAATATTTGAATCACAAACTCTGCAATGGTAAATAGTAGAAAAGATTGAAAGTGTTTGTAAATTCAGACCTGTCAGGCAATTTGAAGAGTCTGGTAATGCGTTTGGGTGATTTGGTATTTGCCTTCTTGGCTGCCTCAGCTTTCTTGAGTGCATCCCCTAGTTTTTCAGTGACAACCCATTCATTGGCTCTCCCTGCTTCAAGAAGACCAATCAAGGTTGCTTTCGTCCGGTGCAATGACATCACGTTCTCGAAAAGGATCCAGTAGAATAAGAGGTGAATTGACCTGGTAGTTCAACGCACAATTATTCAATTATTTGGCATAATAGTACCCAGTTGAAGAATTAACAAGAAAGATTTGAGTAGCAGCAGCCTACCTTGGGGTTCCCACAGAGTTGAGAATAGTGATGATGGAAGGAATATAAACAGCTCCCCAGATAGGAACATGAACTTCAGGAACCAAAATGGTGAGGGGAAGCACAACACAGTAGAAGAAGAAGGTGACCATGTGGGCTATGATCTTTCTGACAAAGAAGAAGCTGTAGATCACATACACTTTCTTCCAGAATTTGACTTTCTGCACCAATGTATATTGATTGAATAAGATTTTAGAGATAAGTTAAATTTATGTTTATGCAAAATAGATAGACGAAGTGAAAGTCACCTTGTTTTTAACAATCTCCATCACCATTTTCCTGAAGAGATTTGCAGGGCCACAAGACCATCGGTGCTGCTGGAATCGGAAGGCTCTGAAGGTACTAGGAAGTTCACTTTTCACCTACAATTATGACAGATTAATTACATGTATATGTATATGTATACCTACATTTTTGAGACAGCAAATGGACATACCTGAAGATCACCCAGGTACACAAACTTCCAGCCTCTAAGACTAGCCCGAACTGCAAGATCCATATCCTCCACTGTGGTTCTGTCCTTCCACCCTCCTGCTTCATTGATGGAAGCAATTCTCCAGATACCAGCAGTCCCTGCAATTGCATTGCAAATTGATGAAAAACCAATCGTAGATGTCCATGTAACTAACATATTACCATCACATTCTATTCCCATCGAGTCTAACATATTACTAATTTAGATATATACAAAATAATCATAGTTTATACATTTAACTATAATTAAATTAAAGTTCATTCCTAACGTCAAATATACAATAATTGATTTTGCATTCCCACATGTCAAGAAAGAAATCACAGAGTTTAATTTGAATTTGACATAAAATTGATTTGGGTTTAGATTATTATTACTGTTCAAATTTTTATACTATTTATATGGCGTTATCGTACTTATTCTATAAAATTAAAGTTAAAATCAAATTCAAAGTTAATTTTAATTTTCAATAATTGCAGGCTAGTACTAACTTTTCTTTTTACTTTTGACAAAGTTAATTGAACAGTATGGCTGGAAACTACAGAGAAGCAATAATATCTTTTTTTGAAAAAAAAGCTAAAAAGGTTTCCTGTTTCCCGTCATACTTGTTCCAAAATTTTAAATTGTTTATACAATAATGACAACTGCAATTACCATCTATCTTGAGAGTTTATCAATTCAACGTTGGAAATTACCAACTCAAGTTAATTGAATAATTTGGCAGGCTTTGGACAGGTTTTATCTCTCAGGTTAAACCATATACATATATATTAAAATATACAATTATGACATATAGCAAATTAATTCAAACAAATTCGTTTTTAAATTAAATAAATTTACCATTGAAACCAAAGAAGGCATGAGTGGCTGACCCAACTTCTTGCTCCACAGTGAAATGATAATCCAACGACATCTCTTGCATTCTGGTCAACAGGCACTCGTCCGCATTCACTGGAAACCATGTTTAACATGCTTCAATAATAGTAAATAATAATAAGAAAAAAAATATCTATATATATATATATAGTATAGTATAGTACACAAGGTAAAACAATAATATCAAAAATAATTTATTTTCTACGTGCCAAAAATACTAATAGAAGCCGCTTTACAATTTCTTTTTTGTCCTTAACTACTTCCAATTAGAATCTACCACGTCTTACCAAAGCACGAGGGAGATTCTTACTCAACTTCCTAAAAACAATACTGTTTTGGATTCTCAATATAACAAATTCCAAGTGTCGGCAAGAAGAGGGAGGTCCACCAAGGAGCCAGTGGTACTACCCACACTTTTAACTTTTCCACATGGGTTTTTTCCAAATGGGAATTTGCCGCTTGTATTTAAAAAAAAAAAAGAAATAAAAAAGAAAAATACCACATGCAGAGTAGGGTTACTATAACCACGATTTGACCATTTTACCCTGGACTCTTTACATAATACCGGGACCCAATTAGTTTGACAATACGATCCGTACGACCCGACCTGGGTCGTTAACAGAGCAACACATGCACTGCCTTGGCCCATGAAATTACAAATATACCCTCTCATTCTTCTTTTCCTAATGATAATAAAGAGAGAGCACTCCCATTTTCTTTTCAATAAAATATATATTTTTAGAACAACTCCAAAATCCAAGACACCGAAACTGACCACACTTTGGTTAGTCGCGTCATTTCCATAAATTTTAAAAGAACAAAAATGCAGGGCAAATTTCAATTTAAAAATATCGTAGCATTTAATTTATTTCCTATTTAAAAAAGTTAAAAGAAAAAACCAATAATTATATCAGGACATTCATCAAAACATATTATTGAAACAATATTTTTTCTTAACAAATTAGGAATATTAAAATTTCGTCAATTAATCACACTACGAGAGAGAGAGAGAGAGAGAGAGAGAGAGAGAGAGATCTGATTAAGCCGTGATCTACGGCAAGTATGTAAACAAGTGTCATGATCAAGGCGGCTGATTGAGTGAGGACGTTGTGGTCCCCACACCGTGATTGATGGGGACGTGGGCTCCGCATAAACCCATGCACCCTGCGACCGTATCCGCCGACAAAAACAAAACTAACCCTACTAGCAAAATTAGAGAGAATGATAATAATAATAATAATAAAGAATTTTCCGGAAAAGAAAAAGAAAAAGAAAAAGAAAAGAAGAATTTCAAAGAGCACCGACACTAGTATTTAACTACTGTTGTTAATTGTGATATGAATAGTTGATAGAAGTAATTAAGTACGAAAATTAATTAAATTGTACCAAATCTCCATCGAGCTTGAACGAGAGCGATGTCAGGATTGTGGACCAAGAAGGGGATGCTTCTTCTTAAGAAATCAGGCTCTGGTTGGAAATCAGCATCGAGAATGGCGACGTATTCACAATGCTTCACATAGCTTCTCTTCAATCCTTCTTTTAGAGCTCCTGCTTTGTATCCTCCTCTGGTTTCTCTGATTTGATACACTATATTAATACCCTTACTCGCCCACCTCTGACACTCTTGCTCCACCATTTGCTACATTCATATTCAATCTCACTTCAATGTTTACTCATCAATTCCTCAAACAACGAATATGTTTATATCTATATATATGTATGTGTGAGTGAGTATGTATACCTTGACGGTCGGATCAGTTGAGTCGTCGAGGACTTGGATCACGAGGCGATCTGCCGGCCATGAAAGTCCACAAGCTGCTCCAATCGATAATTTATAGACCTGTAAACACAAACTTATCAAATCGTAATCCAATTTCTCTCTCTCTGGAAAACCTAGCGAAACATACAATACAAACCTCTCTCTCGTTGTACATTGGGATTTGAATAAGAACCACAGGGAAATTCGAGCTTCCTGCTTCAACATCATCTTGTATAAGCTCGAATTTGTAACGCTTTTCGGGTTTCTTCCAGAACATTTTCACCAAAATAATGACAATTCCCATGTATAATCGCTCCATGAACAACATCAACGACATAGCCAAGCAGATATACACACCGAGTCTCAGCAGAGGAACTATCAATGGCGCTTTGATTAGCTCCCATATTAGCCCAATTTGCCCTGTAATGTCATAGCCGTTTCCTTGAAATGATTCCGGTATCAAAATCTTAGGCGAAATTTGATCCATCTCTCTCTGTACCGCAAAGAACAAAAACGACTATAAACAAGAAAAGGACAACAATGGATCTGCGTGTGTGATTTGTTGTTACGCAATGTGGATGAATCAAAAGCGAGAGTCAGAGACTGACTTTTATATGTATAACTCGCAGAAATCTTAAATGGAAAACTCAGACACGAAAGGTAAAACCAACTCAGTACTCTCTGTCAAATCTTAACCAGACAAAAAAGATAGCAGGAAAACGCTCTGATTTCTTCTTTCCTCCACGCTTTAATCGCTCAACTCTATCACAGTCTGTCCCAACCGATACTGACTCGTCTTCTTCTTCTTCCTCCCATCAAAATGAGAAAGAAACAAAACAGTATGGAGGCCGAGAGAGAGAGAGAGAGAAAGAGAAAAGGGGAAGAAGAAGAGGAAGAAGAAGAGGTGGCTATTTGTGATAAAGAAGAGCGCAATTGATAGAGAGAGAGAAGAGAAGAAGATGCAGTTTTATAGTGAGCTCGGACATTAATTACTTGCCTCTCCCTGTTTTAACTAGTATAAATTTTCGGCTGAGAAATCCCAGGGTCATTTTTGTCATTTAACGGTCATGACTGAGAGTTGAAACTGTAACGTTTTTTTGTGGTGACGTGGCATTTTATTATTGGCTACTGTCATATACTGCCAATGAAAACAAAGCAAATCTCATCAGGAGAAGCAAGTAACTGTTATACCTAAAAGTTTCAAAAAGTATTTTAGACCAAAGGAAAAGAGCTCATGGCAAGGCAAGAATCATGTTAATAAAGTTTTTTTTTTATTTTTTTTCTTTTCTTAATGATGAATTTTGTTTTAATAAATTACACAATATTTTTGAATCATAGTTTTACATGTCCGTATCTAATTAAAATCTATAATTTATCTAATTTTTTTGTTCAATCATTTTAATTTTGAAATTTGTTCACTAGAAACTTTCTTTGGGTAAATATTTTTAATTAAGTTATTTTAAGGATTTTCATACCAAGATCTTCAAATAGAGAAAGTATTTGAATAGTAAATATAAATAAATACATTGTGTTGCATATTTACTTCAATGGTTATTCACTGAAAGAAACTATACATTATAATATATTAATTATTTTTCTAATAAAAGGGGAAGTCCCATATGAGGAAAAAAATAAGGTTAATGTACTTCTGTAAGAGTCAATTAATTACCAAAAGAAGGTTAATACATTTCCAGAAAAAAAAAAAAAAAAAAAAGGTTAAATTAACTCACCCTCACCGGTTTGATAACTTTATTATAATTCTTAATCCACTGAAAATTAGGAAGCACTACAGGTTCATTATAATTTGTCAAAATAGATTAGTAATTATTGGGTAATTATTAAATTAATTTCTAAAATTTGTCAATTATTACGATTTGGTTAATAGTTATTTTAAACTGTCTATTATAATTTCTGTTTATTTTAAACTGTCTAGTTTCATTGTATTTTTCTAATGAAAAAAGTTGAAATCTTAAATCATATTTAAATACTTTAAAAATACTCAAAAACTAATTTTGACTAATAAATTAAATTAATAATTGATAACAATAAAATATATCTAGAATAATTATTAATTTATTAACTGCTAATTTAATTAATTAGTTAAATTATTATTTTAAGTTATTTTTTAAAATATTTAAACACAATCTAACAATTTTAACTTTTTCTACTAGAAAATTACAACAAAAAAAAAAAAGCTAAGTAGGAAAAATTCAAGAATCAAATTAAAATAAAAAGATATTAAAAATTAAATTATAGTAAGTATCAAATTTTAAATTAATTTAATTATTTACCCTTAATTGTTTTTGACTTTTTAACATTTCATAAGATGAAAATTACCAATTATTCATTAACTGTATAGTTAGTACTTTTCTCCACTCTTAAAGAGAATAATTTCGAGAGTTGACTTGTGTATTTCTATATATAATATTTAGGTCCGAAAAATAATTCGAGATAATTTTTATTATTAAATTATTAATTTAAAATAAATAAATAATTAATTATTTTTTATTTAAGTGAAATTTTGAAAAAAAATTGGATTACGGATGAGATTGAAAACTATTTTGAAAAAAAAAGTGAAAATTTATGTTGGGGGGGTATTTTTAGAAAAAAATTAGAAACAAGTGGTTAAAGTGCAAAAAAAAAAAGTTCAGCCACGTAGAACTGTTTAGTCAGCAGTCTCGACGAACCGGAGCACATTGCGTGGTGAGAGATGCTGACGTAGGCGCCATGCGGGAGGCCACGTGGGTGATCCGCGTGCCTCGAGATTGGATGGCCTAGGATCGATCCCGTGTGCGTGGATGGCTCATATTCATTTCTCCCTTAGGCGCGATCGGACGATCGAGATCAATCGCAATGAACGGTGCAAATTCATTTTCTTCTTAGATGTGATCAAACGGATGTGATCAATCGCGATGGACGGCCCAGATCAACGTGAAATGGGTATAAATACTTCGCGTCACATGGAAACCCAAACCCTAACCACTAGTCTCTGCCAGAGAAGAAGACCCAACGCTGGAGAAGAGGCCAACGGCCAACCGTCGTCGCACTGGA